TTTTTTTGAGGCAGAGTCTCACTGTGTTGGCCAGGCTAGAGTGCCGTGGTGTCAGCCTAGCTCACAGCAACCTCAAACTCCTGGGCTCAAGCGATCTGCCCGCCTCGGCCTCCCAGAGTGCTAGGATTACAGGCATGAGCCACCACACCCGGCCCTTGAGCATCTTTTCATATAATTAGTTGTTATTTGTATATCTTCTTTGTTGAGACATCTGTTGACTATATTTATGTGGGTCTATTTCTTCATTCTCTATTTTGTTCCATTGGTCTGTATATCTATTCTTTGGCCAATGTCATGCTGTCTTATTTACTCAGGTAGTATTAATCCTCCAACTTTTTTCTTCTTCAATATTGTGGTAGCTTTTTTGAGTCTTTTGCCTCTCCGTATAAACTCTAGAACCAGTTTGTCGAAATTTATAAAGTAATTTGCTGGGATTTTTGTTGAGATTGTATAGAATCTGTGGATCGAGTTGGGAAGAACTGACATCTTGACAATATTGAGTGTTCCTGTCCATGAATATGAAATAGTTCTTCATTTATTTAGTTTTTTTTATTTCTTTCATCACTGTTTTTTTAGTATATTCACAGAGTTGTGCAGTCATCATCACTATTTAATTTCAGAACATTTTTATCACCCCCAAAAGAAATTCCATATTCACTATCAGCCACTTATCATTTTCATTTCCACCGCCTGCTCTTCCTCCTCCCAGTCTCCGACAACCACTAATCTACTTTCTATATTTATATATTTACCTATTCTGGACATTTCATATAAATAGAATCATACAATATGTAGGCTTTTGTGTCTGGCTTCTTTTCACTTAGTATAACATTTTTGAAATTGATCCACTGTGCAGCGAGTGCCGGTATTTCATTCTCTTTTTTATTGCTGAAATTACATTACATTGTATGGAAATACCACATTTTGTTTACCTATTTGACAGTTGATGGACATTTGAGGTTTGGGGTTTTTTTGTTGTTTTGTTTTGGGTTTTTTTGTTTGTTTGTTTTTTTTGCTACTGTGAATAATGCTCACATGAACACTCATATACACATTTTTGAGTGGATATATGTTTACAATTACTTTTGGTACACACCTAGGAGTGGAATTGCTGGGTAATATGGCATCTCTATGTTTAACTTTTTGAGGAACTACCAAACCATTTTCAAAAGCAGCTGCATGATATTTACATTCCCACCAGCAGTGCATGAGAGTTCCAGTTCTTCTATATTCTCGCCATTTGTTATTGCGTCTTCTTCATTATAGCTATCCTGCTGAGTATGAAATGATATTCCATTGTGGTTTTGATTTGCATTTCCCTAACAAATAATGATGCTGAGCATCTTGTCATGTACTTATTGGCTATGTGTATATATTTGCAGAAATATCAGTTCAAATTCATCACCCATTTTTTAATTAGGTTGTTTATTCTTTTGTTATTATTGAGTTGTAAGAGTTTTTCTTATATATACTGAATGCGATTTCCTTAACTGATATATGATTTGCAGATTTTTTCACCATTTTGTGGGTTGTCTTTTCACCTTCTTGCTTGTGTCTTTAGAAGCAAAAAAAGGTTTTAATTTTGATAAAGCCTATTTTATCCATTTTTTTCTTTTGTGGCTTGTGATTTTGATGTCATATCTAAGAACTATTGTTGACCTAAGGTCATACGGATTTATTCCTGTGTTTTATTCTAAGAGATATGTAGTTTTGGCTCATAGGTTAATGATCCATTTTGAGCTAATTTTTTTTTTTTTTTTTTTTTGAGACAGAGTCTTGCTCTGTTGCGCGGGCTAGAGTGCCATGGCGTCGGCCTAGCTCACAGCAACCTCCAACTCCTGGGCTCAAGCGATCCTCTTGCCTCAGCCTCCCGAGTAGCTGGGACTACAGGCATGCGCCACTATGCCCGGCTAATTTTTTTTATGTATATATTTTTAATAGTCGAGATCATTTCTTTCTATTTTTTAGTAGAGACAGGGTCTCGCTGTTGCTCAGGCTGGTCTCGAACTCCTGACCTTGAGCGATCCTCCCGCCTTGGCCTCCCAGAGTGCTAGGGTTACAGGCGTGAGCCACCGCGCAGCCTTGAGCTAATTTTTATACATGGTGTGAAGTAGGGGTCCATCATCACTATTTTGCATGTCAATATCCAGTTGTCACAACATCATTTGTTGAAAAGACTCTTCTTTCCCCCTTTTTAAAAATAAGTTGGGCTTTGAATGATGGAGACAAAATAAGCAGTCTGTTACGGGGATGGCACCAAGGGGTGGGCTTTCTCAAGCCTCTTCCTCTTCTGCCTCCTGCTCCTCCACCCCGTCCAATTGCTTCGGTATCTTCACGTTCCAATTCTTCGTCAGAATCAATATCTTCCCAATCGTCTGTGTCCAAGTCCTCCTTGTCCTCACTGTCCTCCTCCTGCTGCTTTGCCAACTTTTTCTCCTGCAGTTCAAGCTGCTGAAGTCGGGGCGGTTTCTCGGTGGGGTCTCGGTGTTGAGTCCACACAGCCACCAGCAGCCACGGCCACGGAACTCCTGGACTGTCCACACTGTCCACGCCCAGTCCTTTCTCCAAGTTCTTTTCATTCATCATCTCCACTTTCCGATTCACGGCCCGCACGCCCTTCTTTTCAAGATCAACGTGCCGCCGGGACTTCAGGTGGTTTTCATAGGCGTTCAAAGAGGCAAACTTCTTACTGCAAACAGTGCAGTGGGTGGCTGAGCCCTCGGTCTCCTGCTCTGCCTCGGCCCGGCCCGCTGCCCCTGCTCTCGCCTCTGGAAGCCTACAGCGGTGACCGGGACCATGTTGGCCACTTCTCGCCACAGGTTGCAGCGAGGCCAGTCTTGCAGTGGGCCCGCTGCATCTCCGCGACATAGAGTGCCACCGGCAAGTTTTGCAAGTGTACGTCGCCATCGCCAGGCGAGAAATAAGAGGCGACCTTGCCGAACCTCTGATGGTCAGCGCCTTGTCCACACAAGACCTTCAGACCTTAACTCGCCTCAGTAGCCGCTAGGAGCCACACTGCGTGCAAACTTCCCAATTCTCACTCTATAGTTCTTTTTATTTGCTGCCAGATAAAGTTTGCTACTATTTTGTTGAGGATTTTTGTATCTATATTTATAAAATAAAGTATATTGGCCTGTTGGTCATTTTCATTTCTCCAAGTTTTTGTGAGGTTTTGGTATCAGAGTACCAATACTGGCCTCATAGAACTAATTGGTAGGTGTTTGCTCCTATTTTTTCTAAATAAGACTTTGTGAAGGATTGGTGTTCCATAAACATTTGGCAGAAACTGTTCAAGGATCTGGGGATATAGCATAAACAAACAAGCAAAAATAATAGACAAAAATATCTGCCGAAAAATATACAAACATAAAAAATGTTATGTATATAATGTATAGAAAATAGAAAAATTAAATATGAAATTTTCAATTTTTTTCCCATACCCTTCATCTCGATAGCCCCCAACTCCCACTCTCCTTTCCAGCTCGCTCCCAAAACAAAGTGTCAGAAAGTAGAAAATTCTGTTTCCGTTTAAGTACCACGCCCCCTCAAGGGGCAAGGCTTATTCTAATCTCAACATCCAGAAAAGCGGGCTGGACCTTGGAAGTGTACGAAGGTGGAAGGAGAGATTGCGGAACCAATATTGCTGTAGTTGTAGTTCTCGGTGGGAAGCCAATTCTGCGGACCGGTAGTGGAAAGCTCTTGAGCTGTTTCCGGCCACCTCAGCTGGAAGCGGAGACGCAAGCAACCGGATCTTCGGGAACTGAGCTAGAGGTGTAACTGCTGTTGCCGCGGAGAAAGTGAGGACGACACCTACGGCTGTCCGGGCCAGTGTTGGGTCCCAGTAGCCTGTGAAGATGGTGTTGCTAACAATGATTGCCCGAGTGGCGGACGGACTGCCGCTGGCCGCCTCGATGCAGGAAGACGAACAGGTGAGCTACTACTAGAGTCCCGCGACTCCAAGTCCCTGCCAGCGCGCTTTGCTCTCCGCCCCGGATTTCTTCCTAGGACGCAGGAGACCCTTGTGACCTCCCAGGCACTCCCGACCTCTTTGAAGTGTTCTTTTATCTTTTGGTGGTGTAAAGACTAGTGTGAGTGGAAATCTTTTCTGAAGGCGGAATTAGATTTTTGTGTTACCTGTTTCTCTTTAGAAAAACGCTTTGGAGAAAGGGATAGGTTCAGCTATTGTGATCACCCAGTGTTCTCTGACTCTTCAGGGACTTTGTTAAAATCAGAACTTCTAATGTTCTGCTGCTAATAAGGCTACTGACAAATCCTGGAAAAAATCAGCTCCTAAATTCTTCAACACTTTTTAATGTAGCACCTGATCCTTGACCTAGCTTGCTGACATCTTTTGAAAGTGGGTGAGGTCATTATTGCCACATGTAAGTACTTTTTAAAGTTCAGTGTAGTACCTTCCTTCAAGAGTAAGCCCAATTCCCAAGTTTCCAATAAACGTTATCAAAATCCTGTAATGCGTTGTACCTTGTTTTTATTTTTTTTGTTTGTCTTTCAATTAATCGAGTTTCCTAGCAGCAAATGACAGGTCTTAATCATCTTTCTGTTCTCCGTAGCTTTTACAACAGCAGCTTAATACTGGTAGGTGTTTAAAAATATACTGAATTAATTTAAAACAACAACTCCTCTACATATTTTAAAAGGAAGCTGCTTTGTTTCACAATCACGAGAGAAATTTCTGGTGTGAGACAAATTCTGGAGCAAGCTTGGGAGGTCCCTGAAGAGGAGAGGCTGAGGATGGAATTTTTATAACTTAACTTAAAGTGAGCGATTTTATTTTACTTTCTCATACAGCCCAAGTAGTTTTTTAAAACTTCAAGGCTTAAATAAGATGAGTTCTGGAGAAAAAATTTTTTCACATTTCTTCTCTTGGACTTTTCATTCATATATTCATGCTGCAAAAAAAAAAAAAAAAAAAATCTTACTGAGCACCTCAAATGTGCCAGGTGTGGTGTTAATGCAGGGAATTAGAGGCCACAGTCTCTACCTTCATGGAGCTCATAGTCTAGAGGAAAAGTCAGATAACTTAAAATTATAATGTAGTGTAACTGCCATGGAAGAGGAAGAGGGTTCTGTGATTGAATATGGAAAAGGTATCCAAGTTGGTTTTGGGAGATGATGAAAGTCTTCCCAGAAGAAATGACATCTAAGCTGACAGTAGGACCTCATAGTTCTATTTGGTTATATGCCTTTTTAGGTTTGATTTGGAAATATGTTTACTTTCACTTTTAGGAGAGTAATAATGCACATAATAAAGTTGCAGGCCATGCTAAGTGAAATATATTCTGTTCATACCACAAAACAAAGTCAAATCAATGAAATAAATTGTGAAAAATATAACATACCCTGAATTTTCAATTGTGCAATGTTTTACTCTAAATTCTCCAATTTGTTGAGAATTTTCTAGGACCACTCTGCAAAAGGAGTGTAATTGTTCAAATGAGCCCAGGAACATTATTTGAACAAGAGAGATAGTGTGGTGAAATTAGCTTGAAGTATGTGAAGAAATAGTTTCCCCCCAGTTGGTGGCAGGTGGAATCTGGTCAGTTTTCCAACTATTGCATTGAATTCCAGTGTGGTCAAAGAATACAATGTGGATTTGAAAGTCTACTTAATTTTAGTGGGCCCCTTCTCTCTGCCTTGAAACTCTATTGAAAAATTAATTGATTTATTATTGTTTGTTTCTTAATTCTGAATTTGGCATTGATTTGGTATTGATCTACCAGGAAAGGTTGCTTTGTTTAATTGACAAGGAAAGAAGTTTTACACAAAAATATGTTGTGATTGTAATTCTATAGTGTTTTCATTTAGGAATTTTGACTTTGAATAATAAAGTTTTTCCTAAACTTTAATGTTTGTGAAAATATGAATTTAAACTTATTTTTACTACTATAATAGTATACAGAACATTTATAAGAGCACCTGCTACATACCAAGCACTGTGCTAAGCCTGTTAAGTGCATTATTTCATTCAATCCTTGTACCAACCAAATTAGAATAGATACTATTATTATCCCCATTTATAGATAAGGAAGCTCTGAGGCTTAGAGAAGATAGGTCATTTGCCTAAGGTCACACAGCTACTAAGTAGCATAATGGAATTTTTCATCAGAATTTCTTCACCTCGACACTGTTGACATTTTGAGATGGATACGATAATTCTTTGCAATGGGGGACTGTCCTGTGCATTTTAGGATGTCTGGCAACTTCACTGGCCTCTATTCCCTAGATTGCAGGAATACCATCACCCTCCCCACTTTGTTGTGACAAGGAAAAATAGCTGGAGTATTTTATACACAATGTTTCCTTTATGCTTAACTAGAAATTTAGGCTTAGGGCAGATAAATGGGCTTTTCTCCCCAAACCTAGGCTCCGTAACTGGTATCCTATCTGTTTCCTTTCTACCTTCCTTCATGGTTTGTTTCTCCTTTTAGGAGTTCTGCAATTTCTTTATCTACCTTTCTGTTTTACCTCAAAATTACTGTGTTCTCTTCCCTTTTATTTTCCCCAGTGCTATGGAGGGCAGTCCAGACTTGAAGAAGGTGTTAAATCTAACCAAGCAGACAACAGGAGGCTCCAAGAAAGCAGATAATCTGTTGTACAGTTAAACTGCCTTACTCTCCTAATCAGCAAGGGTTGATTAATCAACTTACTGTAATTGTTTTTAGAGGAGAATGGTTGGTTCTTGGTGCTGCTGGACTTTGACCAGCTGAATTCAACAGGAATTTAAAAATGATAAGAGCTTAGCTAAACATTCTTAAAAAGGCAAAAGATGATATTTAATACAACTAGTTGTTTAGTAGTCCTAGGCGACAGCAATGAAAAGTATTTGGTTGTGTGGCAGATTACTACCTTGCACCTTTTGTAGTATATAGAGCCAAATCTTATATATGCTATTCAATAACCTCAAATTTATTTCACAATTTGTCCAGTTACTGTAATCCACTTCATTATTGGATTATTATCAGATATCATTATACCATATGCAAAGTTCATTAATCTGTTGCAGATGAAGTAGAAAATAGAATAAGGACATCTAAATATTTTTAGGTGGACTGGCTGATTGTGGGCCCTTTGTGACTTTGATCTTGAAAGCAAACTAAAGGTCATTCTGTGAAGCAGTGGTTATGTTGTTTTGTGAGATCTAGATCAGAGCTGCCACGTGGTTTCTTAGCATTTCCTATGAATTAGATTTAGTATAAAATAGTCAGACATTACCTAAAAGGTGGATGTATTATTGAAGCAATTTCAATTATAGAGATGGCATAGCATAATACTTAGGAGCAGTGGCTCTTAGAGTCAGATTTCCTGGGTTAAAATCCTAGCCCCTCCCCTTTAGTCTGGAGTCCTTGGGCAACTTTGACTTGTCCAGTAAAAAATAAACATAGTAATTCTAATCACCTCATAGGGTAGTTGTGAAGATTAAATAATGAGTTAAATTATATAAAATGTGTAGATAATGCCTGGCAGAAAGCACTTAATAATTTCATTTGCCCATTTCTGAAGAATCTCTAATTCCATCTTGCCTTTCTTATAGTTCATAGACTAGAATTGCAGACAGTAAATACTCTGGGTGCAAATACGTAATAAACAGGAATAAATTAATAATTTTTCTCATTATAAAATTAATCCGTGCTTATTATAGAAAGTTCAGTAAATATGTACAAGCAAAATGACCAAATGTTAGTGGTGATTATTACTTACAGTCTCTTCTCAAATTATATCTATTTTGATGATGACCTTAAACATATTTGTGTGTGTGTATGTTTAAATAATGAGTAATATTGTAAGACTGTTGTTAATTTTTTTCCACTTAGCAGTGTATAATGAATATTTCCTCAAATCATTAAATATTATACAACATTTTCATGGCTGCATAATATTCCGTTATATGAATATACCAGAACTATTATCATTTAACCAAAAAGATTGTGCCAGCATTGTGTTCTCAGAAATGCTAATGCTAACTGAACCAACGTTGTAAAATGTTTGTTGGCATACTATAATCTCTCTGTATATATGTCCCCAATGTTGTATATTGGCAATCTTTGCTATGTTGTTTGCAAATTCCTGAAATTATATCATGCTTTTGGCTGTAGTTTCTTGTAGTTGATACAGTTGTTAGTCTCTTTTTCTCAGATTACAGTAATTTTTACAATGTCTCTTATAAGGTCAAAGGATTTATACCAGTCTTTACGTGACTGACAATTTTTTGCCATCTTTTCTTCAACTCGTCCTTTTAAGGTGTCACCTGCCTTTAGCAAAGAACTTATTCTTGACATCTGTGGTTGTTGTTATTTAAAACATACCAGTGTCGGAACCCTACCTCCAAGATGCGGATTTAATTGGTTTGGAGGTGGAGATTGAATATGAGTAGTTTTTTTAAGATCCCCAAGTGATTCTAGTGTGAAGCCAAGGTTGAAATTCTTCTTGATATTCTTTCTTGCCACTTGAGTAGCATTTCCAACATTTTTTGCATCCCTTTTTATTACTCTTGTGGATTCAGATCTCTTCAGAATGCCACATAATGGCATTGGTGGAACAGATTGGTAAGTACTATTCAAATTTAGAAAAGTATGATATTATGTACCAGTTTTATTGGTTGAAAGCATGTGATCTTATTCACTCTCCTTTACTGGCTGACCATATATTAGCAGTACTGTTTAATATGATAATGCTAATATATATTATATGTTAATTATTGTAAAGTACTATTTAATATATAAAACTGTATGTATATGTACACATACATGCATATATACATATGTTAATGTAGAAATATTTCTCACATGAACAGCATTTCTCACATGAACAACAAATAAGAGCAGTGCTAAACAAAATAAATCTACAGATTAATACTTCAAGTGGACTCTGCATAACTCCCCTGGTTTACCTCATGTTTACTCACCCTCTTGTTCATATTGAAGTTTCCAGTTCATTTTAAATATAGCTTAGAAACTTATTATCCTATACTTGTACATTTGCTGATTGGCCACTTTATCACTTTATGATTGCTTCCTTGTTTTTTCTATTAGCTAAGTGGTATACTTTCTAGAATTTTAAGATATCACTTTGTACTTTCTCAAAATTAGACCTCAGACTCATACCCTGGGAGACCCTAGTATAAACAGTTTCTATTTAAACAGTTATTAACATCTGTCAAAAGGAGACTGTGTTCTTATCTTCAAAATACATAGTTCTGAAGTAGAATAATTCCTTCCTATCACATGGCGACATCTCAGTCTGTTTGGGCTGCTATGATAAAATGCCATAAACTGGGTGGCTTATAAACAACAGAAATGTATTTCTCCAGTTCTGGAGGCCGGGAAGTCCAAGATCAAGGTGCCAACAGATTGGGTGGCTAGTGAGGGCCTGTTCCTGGTTCATAGCTGGTGCCTTCTAGCTGTGTCCTCACATAGTGGAAAAGGCAAGCTAGCTCTCTGGGGTCTTTTATAAGGGCACTAATCCCAACCATGGGGGCTCTACCCTTATGACCTAATCACCTCGCAAAGGTCCCACTTCCTAATACTATCACCTTGGAGGTTTATAACATGGATTTTGGTGGAACACCAACAAACATTCAGATCATAGCTAACAGAAAGCCCCTTCTGGCCGGGTGCGGTGGCTCATGCCTGTAATCCTAGCACTCTGGGAGGCCGAGGCCGGTGGATCGTTCAAGGTCAGGAGTTCGAGACCAGCCTTAGCAAGAGCGAGACCCCGTCTCTACTAAAAATAG